CAACGTCTCCAAGAAATGTGGGACTATGTGAAAAGACCAAATTTACATTTGATAGGTGTACCTGAATGCAACGGAGAGAATGAATCCAAGCTGGAAAATACCCTTCAGGATATTATTCAGGAAAATTTTCCTAAACTAGCAAAGCAGGTCAACATTCAACCCCAGGTAATACAGAGAACACCACAAAGATATTCCTCAAGAAGAGCAACCCCAAGGCACATAATCGTTAGATTCACCAGGGTTGAAACGAAGGAGAAAATACTAAGGGCAGCCAGAGAGAAAGGTCAGGTTACCCACAAAGGTAAGCCAATCAGACTTACAGCAGATCTTTCAGCAGAAACTCTACAAACCAGAAGAGAGTGGGGGCCAATATTCAACATCCTCAAAGAACAGAACCTTCAGCCCAGAATTTCATATCCAGCCAAACTAAGCTTCACAACTGAAGGAAAAATAAAATCTTTTATGAACAAGCAAGAACTCAGAGATTTTATTACCACCAGGCCTGCTTTACAAGAGCTTCTGAAAGAAGCATTACACACAGAAAGAAACAACCAGTATTAGCCTTTCTAAAAATACACCAAAAAATAAAGAGCACCAACATAAAGAAGAATTTACACCAACAAATGGATAAAACAGCCAGTCAACATCAAATGGCAGTAACCCTAAATTTAAATTGACTAAATCCCCCAATCAAAAGACACAGCCAAAACCCAATGGCATGTTACATCCAGACCTGTTTCACATGCAAGGATACACAAAGACTCAAAACAAAGGGATGGAGAAAGATTTACCAACCAAATGGAGAGCAAAAATAAATAATAAATAAATAAAAAGCAGGAGTTGCAATTCTTGTATCGGATAAAATAGATTTTAAAGCAACAAAGATATACTGGTAAAAGGATCAATGCAACAACAAGAGCTAACGATCCTAACACCCAGATACAAGACTTAGTTAGATTCAATGAGACAGAAAATTAATAAGGATATCAAGGACTCGAACTCAGATCCGGAACAAGTAAACTTAATAAATATTCATAGAGCTCTCCACTTCAAATACACAAAATATACATTCTTGTCAATATCACATCACACCTACCCATAAGTTTAAATGAAACATTGATTGGCCATTATTAATACTCAATTTTTTTCAAAATAAAGCAATATTTCCATTTACTCTCCCTCTTTCTCTTCCTCTTTCTTCCTCTCCTTTACTTATTTTTTTTTTCTTTCTTTCTCTCAAAAAAAAAAAAAAAGAAATCAACTTGTAAACCTCTAGATCCAGGTCGGCAATGTCTGTCTCATTGCATGATTTCCTTCCTTCCCTTCCCTCCCTACCTCCCCGCTTCCTCCCTTCCTTCCTTCCTTCATCACTTCCTTCCTCCCTACCGTCCTTCTTCCCTCCCTTCCTGCCTTCCTCCCCCCCCCCAAAAAAAAAGTGTCTGTATAAAATGCTTTAATGAATTCTCAGTTTTTATGTTTTTAAAATATAAAGTCCTCCAGAGCAAATTGTAATTGTTGGGGATAATTTTAAAACCTGGAGCATTTGGCATTCTTATGAAAATGGAAAGATTTTGTAAATGCTTTTTAGTTATATGAAGAAGTGTTTCTGCTTTCTTTTGAGATATATTACAAAATTACATGGATGATGAAAATGTTTTTGCATATTTTCTGTGTAGAGTGAACTTCTCATTTCTGTCTTGTATTTTAAAGCCATGTAGATGGTTAGAATTCTGTCTTAGGAACCCAAAATGGAGCAATATGGGATCTTCCGTACTGGCAGTCCTAAGAAACAGACAGTCAGCAAAGGAAGGAAGGCGCTGACTAAAGGGGAAAGCGGGTTAGTTCTGCAAGTACAATTAATCTGTCTGAGGCACCAGTTTGTTAATGATGTTTATTAAGCATTTATTGAATCTCCATTATTGTTTTACACTGTGACAGGTCCTAGACATACCAAGTAGTATATAGCTTAGTTTCTGTCCTGCAAAGACTGATAAATATAAATAGACAAATCGTTACTGAAATGATTACAGTCTAGCAACATACTTATGCCTAAAATTATTGGGAACAGAACATTGGCTGTGACTAAATTCTTAATTTCCTAGTGGAGCTAGAAGGGATAATTGTTGTATGCAGAGGAAATAAATTTTACAATACATTTACAAAAATTGCGAGGAGCTAGAAAAGTCTAGGGCCCAAATTTGAAGGCTTTGTATACTGTGTGAAAATGCTTTGCCTTTATTTTATTACTTAGTACTATTTAGACTGTGGTGTGGGATCGGGGTTGTTTATATGTATTTTAAAATTTTACAGACTGTGATGGATTAATAGTTTTATAAAATACAATAAAAATTAATCACAGAAAGATGAAATAAAGATACATGAAATAAAGTCCCAAGTTTTAATTTAGACTGAACCAACATAAAATGATTCTTGTATTAGTCTGTTTTCATGCTGCTTTAAAAGACATACCCAAGACTAGGTAGTTTACAAACGAAAGAGGTTTAATTGCATTTACAGTTCCACATGGCTGGGTAGGCCTCATAATCATGGTGGAAGGCAAGGAGGAGCAAGTCACATCTTATGTGGATGGCAGCAGGGAAGGAGAGAGCTTGTGCAGAGAAATTCCCATCTTTAAAACTATCATATCTCGTGAGACCCATACACTATGACGAGAACAGCACAAGAAAGATTTGTCCCATGATTCAGTCATCTTCCACCAGGTCCCTCCCACAACATGTGGAAATTATGGGAGCTACAAGATGAGATTTGGGTGGGGACATGGAGCCAAACCATATTAATTCTATACAATTGCTATAAATGTTTATAAACACTCAGTTTCTATACTTACCTCATCATGGATTAGTAATAAATATTTAATAGTTAGTAATTCTTGGATTTGTGATGGTCTGTGGGCCACACTTGGAGTGGTATTGATCTTCTAGGCGAAAAATGGCCCCTGAGGATTTTTAGGCGAAGAATAGCATGATTGTGTTTGTGTTTAACACAGTGAATTTTTGGGGGGATATGGGCATTGATTAGGTTTCAGGCAGAAGGTTGGAAACCAAGGAACCCTGGAATCGTCAGCATTTGAGGGGTAGCTGGAAATGGAGGAGAAAGTGAAGGTGACTTTGTTTACATTAATGATTCATGTGGGGAGTAGTTTCCCCACTAGGCCATAAACTTATAGAAGGCAGAGGCTCTATTTCTTTTTACTCCTAAGATAAAATCGACATTTCAGAAATATTTGATGCATGATAAGTAAATGGATGAATGAATAAATGAATGAATTGGGTCAGAGAGGTAAAGGCAGAACCAGGAAAGAGCAGAGTGTTTAAAACTGGAATAAGAATTTCAGGCTAGAAAATGTAATAAACACAACCAAATGCTTTCATATCAGAGAAGATGATCATTTATTAATCATGTATTGGACTTAGTAATTTGAAAGTCCTTAGGGAGAGCAGCTTTATCAGTATGGTAAAGTTAGAAGCCAGATTATAATGTGTTGCCTATCTCTACTTTCTGGTAAGGGGGTGAGTAAAAAGATCTTTTAAAAGATGGCACTTCATTAATCAATGTTCATTTATGTATTGAGGAAGAAAAGTAATCATAATCTTTGGTATCAATTTAGTATTGTGTTTCAGTGTAAGATCAAGAATAGATATGTATTATTTTTCTTCCATTTCAGCTGGGGAACTAACATCTATTAAGTGGAATTGGGATCGATTTTTTTCTACGTTTGATTCTGATTGAGAAGAAAACTAAAATATGAATAATTTGCTTGGTCTTATGTCAAATGGATTTTTAATGAATTTATTCCTTAATATTATTTTTGTTTTTAATTTTTAAAAACAGATTTAGGGCTTGCACATGCAGGTTTGTTACAAGGATATATTATGTAATAGTGAGGTTTGGGCTTCTGTTTTACCCATCACCTGAATAGTGAACGTTATCCCCAATAGGTAATTTTTTTCAGACCTTACGTCCTTTCCATCCTCCTCGCTTTTGGAGACTGTAGTGTCTGTTCTCTTTAGGTCCATGTGTACCCATTGTTTAGTTCTCACTTTTAAGTAAGAACTTGCAGTATTTGATTTTCTTAGTTATTTCACTTAGGATAACTGCCTCTAGTTCTATCCATGCTGCTGTGAAAGACGTTTCCCTTTTTATGGTTGTGTAGTATTCTAGGACATATACATCACATTTTCTCTATTCAGTCATCCATTAGTGAACACTTCGGTTGTTTTCATGACTTCACTGTTGTGAATAGTGCTGTGATAAACGTTTGAATGCAGGTGTCTTTTCGATATAATAATTTATTTTCCTTTGTCATTCCCTGATATTCTTTACTGATTATTAGAATCCTCCCAATAACATTCCATTTCCATCATAGAATAAAGTTTACTCTTACTCTGTACTGTGCCAGGCTTATACTTGGTCAAAAGTTTGTAGGAAAAATATTATGGCTTGAAAGTATGTGGGATATAATTACTTCTGAAGAGTCAGAAAACTGAAAGGCATTCGAAAGCTGTTAATAGGAAGAATAGGAGTTACGTGTAGTATTATTATATTTGCTAATTTAGCAAGTTTGTCTGTCATTGCTTTATTTCTTATAATCAAGTTTTAATAGGATCTTTTAAATGTAAAAAGGCGTTAAACATTACATCTGCTACATAAGTGATCAGCATTCTCATACAGTGCCACATGTACTGTTCATACATCGTCATCTTTTAATATTGTCTAGATGAAAACTTTATTTGAAATTTTATTTTCTTGATTGCGTTTAAAAAATACTAAAATAAACATTGGATATTTTTCACCCTTTTCCCACTGTAAAATGATTATGGTCATTTTACAGTATAGAGAATAATGAAAATTCAACAGATTTAAGGCAATCTACAACATTATGTGAATGCTTAAATCATTTTAATGCTTTTTTTGTTCTTAAATAAAAACATTCAGCTTTCTTCACAATAATTTCAATAGTTATTTCAATGTTTTTGTAGAATGAAGACCAGCAAGAAGTAATCCTTGTCCGAACAGATCAGTCTGGTAGAGTGTGGCCTGTCAACACACCAGGAAAGTCTCTGGGATCACAAGGAGGAAGAAGAAAGAGACAGGTGGTATGTTTAGCATATGTCTTTGTTTATTAATTCAGAATTCCTTCTTCCCCTTAGGGCTTTCTTTGTATCAGACTACAAAATATTTTCTGAAATGTAGCTTTCAAACGCCAATATTGGAAGGTAGTAAATGATGTTGTTATTACTTTTATTCTTAGTTATATCTCTTTGCCTTTTACAGAATGGAAACTAATCCAGCTATGTTTTTTCAAATAGTTGTTAACTTTGAGTGTTTAAGAGAATTTTAATTTTAGTGTACATTTCTTTGTTGTTGTTTTCAGTTGCTTTCGGCATGCTTGCCGTAGCTCTCAGGGAAAATGTAGGGAAAACCAGAGCTGTTACTAGTGTTAGACAGCTAACTTGAGAGCTCGTGATGGGGTATCCGTACACAGTAATGGCTTAATTATGTAGGTGCCATGATCCTTTATAAACCTAATTTTCTGTTCCATTTTCCAACTCTAGCAATTAGTTTTTAGCACTACCTTGAGGCCCTTGAGATGGCAAAAACAACATAATCAGCTTTCCCAAGTTAGGTTTTTTATTTTAAATTTGGAAGATCAGACAAGTGGCGGTTGCATACACAAAAGAACTGTTCATTCAGAATATTTCTGTCAAATGTTTATTTTTTGCCTTTTGAGTGCCTGTGTTGCTAGAGGTTCTAATTAATTAATTCAACAAACAAAAGTGGAATAGATATGTCTTCTAATGTAATGGGAGGAATTTGGTGCTTGGAAGGGTATGGGAGAGAATAGTAAAGGTTTGAATGATATGAAATGATGGAACTGACTAGGGATCTATAAATGCATTGTTGGAAGGCATCGAGGGTCCTTTTTGAGTTACATGCTACTGAGCAATCCAGGTAGAGGAGTAAAGAAGGTAGACCCTTTCACTCAGGATTAGAGTTTGCTCTTTGAGTGTAATGAAAAGACAAGAGGGCCAGAAATTTAAGTGTGTGGAGCCAGGGGGTGATTGAAGTCATGGGATGTGAGGTTTAAGTTGTAAATACAAGAATAGTAATGTTGGGAAATGTCGTTGCACCCCTGTTCCAAAGATCTCAAAGAGGTTAAAGACAGGGTTTTATTTGGATAAGGGAATGTGAGAGCAGCATCGCAAAGATTTAATTTGGGAGGAAATAAATGGTGTTTTTCTATTCCACACCTGGATGTATGGAACCAACTGAAAGGAACATCTGGGACTGAATTAGATGGAGACCAGAATCTCAGCTTTGCTTTGATAAAAGCTGTTTACAGAACGAGGGTTTAGTAATTAGAAGTAGGTGTCTTAGTTCGGGCTTCTGTAACATAGACTGGGTGGCTTAAACAATAGAAATTTATTTCTGACAGTTCTAGAGTCTGCGAAGTGTAAGATTAGGGTGCTGGCAGATTCATTGTCTGATGAAGGCATGCTTACTGGTTTGTAGATGATAGTCTTCTTTATCCTCACATGGCGGAGAGAAGAGGGAGAGAGAACAAACTCTCATGTATTTTGATAGAGGTACTGTATCAGTCAGGGTTCCCTAAGTTCAACTCCCAAAATCTCAAAGGTAGGGAAGCTAACAGTGCAGCCTTCAGTCTGTGGCCGAAGGCCTGAAAGTCCCTATCAAACCACTGGTGTAAGTCCAAGACTCCAAAAGCTGAAGAAGTTGAAGTCTGATGTTTAAGGGCAGGAAGCAGCCAGCATGGGAGAAAGATGAAGGCTGGAAGACTCAGCGAGTCAAGTCCTTTCAACTTCTAGCTGCACTGGCAGCTAATTAGATGGTACCCACACCCATTGAGGATGGGTCTGCCTCTTCCCGTCCACTAATTCAAATGTTAATCTCCTTTGGCAATACCCTCACAGACATACCCAGGAACAATACCTTGTCCAATCAAGTTGACACTCAGTATTAACCATCACAGGTACTAATCTCAGTTCTGAGGACTTCATGCTCAGAACTCAGTGGCCTCCCGAAGACCACGCCTCTTACTACCTTCATATTGAGATTTCGACCTGTGAATTTTGGGGCAACGTACTCAATAAGTTCATAGCGGTGGATTTGCTAATAATCCACCTCTGTTTTTGATATACTTACTCCATGTCTGGATAACTTCAGTCTGCCCACCACAGTGGTAAGGAATTTTAGCCATAAGGAGAAGAAGAGCAGAAAAGAGAGAAAAAGGTATAGAGCAGTTCTGTTCTTTTGTCAAAACTCAGAAATCAGATAATATCATGCTTCCATCCCTGGGGAAGAGGAGAGGAAAGAGGCAGAAGTAGGGAGTGTAATTCTAATGGAAGTTCTTCCACATGGAAGCTGGTAGATCAGGGATAAACTGGAAGGAAAGGTTGTGATACATAGTGGGATTCTTATATTTAACACCAGATTTTTATGTAATCCATTGAGAAATACCTCAGAGACTTGTGTTTTCATTAAATTCATAATGTTCCTTTTGTCATAGGTTTCAACCCATGAGGAAAAAGAAAGGGTCAGATACTTTCACGATGATGATCATCTAAGCCTGAGTGATTTAGTCAAAAATGAAAAGATGGGCACGGCAGAAAGTCAAAACAAGCTCTTCATGAGAATGGCCTCTAAGGTAAGAGATATTCCCAGGGCACTTTGAATTCTGAGAATCAGGTTATTCAGTGGAACAGCATTCTGCTTTTTGGAAAGATTTGGTTCTTTCTAATCTTTGTTCATTTTATTAAATTAAATCCTTCGTATGACTTATTAGAAACATGCATTTTGGAATTGATCTGGTTGAGAAACAGGCATTTTGAAATTTTGTTTTTAAATATAGACTATGGTTTATTTCTTTAATGCATTCTGTGGATATTTTAATTACATATTTAATCTACCCTTTAAGAGAACATTTTAAGCCAGGCAGAGTTGATGATTGGCAGTGCGCTGTTTGTTAGGTGACCAGTCTGCCTTGTCTTAATGTTCTTCCAGCTCTTCATCATTGTCCCATGAAGAGGCTGAAGAAAATATTTGGGTTAATATATTATGACTTATGGAGAGGCATTTGGGAATAGTCCTAAATCTATATGAAAATATAAATCATTATGGGTATTATGAATTTTTGTTTCAAATAGCATTCTCTGTGGCAGTCTCTTCCACTGAAGTCTCTTTCAAACACTACCATTAGCATTTTTTATAAAATAGACATTGTATTTAAACTGTTCTGTAACAAATTTTGGCAAATTGTGGCCCCCATGAGAAAAATTCAGCCTACTGCCTATATTTGCAAATGAAGTTTTATTGAACCACAGCTATGCACATGCGTTTGCGTATCATCTAAGGCTGCCTTCACGCTGCAATGGCTGAACTGAGTAGTTGTGACAGAGAGTGGATAGCTATAAAGCTGCAAGTATTTACTGTATGGTTCTTTACAGAAAACAAACGGCCCGCTTCCACTCTATAATACCAGCAGTTACTTTTTGGTAGTGGAAGTTTGAACTGAGTCACCGAGATTCAGGCATGGGATGGGGAGACCTTTAACTGTATACCTTGTCAGACCTACAATCTTGTATTTTTTAACTTTTAATATTAACATAATTTTGTGAGTATGTTGCCCAGTAAAAAAAGTGATTTAATGAAAACTAAAATAAAGTAGCCAAGGTATCTCTGTGTATATGTGTGTGCTGGGGAAGAGGGCAATAAAATAAAATGGAATTTAAACCAAGAGTTACTTGAAATCTTGCATTTAGCCTATTAAGATAATTTACCTCTATTTATTTTGGAAAAAAAATGCCAAAAATTTCCTAGGGTCTGGAATTTAAATGCAGAAAGAAGGAAGACATATTTTTATTTGTTTCCTTTTCAGAAGTGGTACCACTCTCTATGGAGTCTGAATTAAATAGTTTTAGTAATCTTATAAACCATTCAAGTTTATGCACAAGGGAAAAATCCTTCTTAAAAATTGCAATAGCTGTTTATCAATTCAGCAATTGTCATTGAACACTTATTTTGTGCCAGATACCATTTTAGTTGAGTGATACAGAGAAGCAATTAAGTCAAAGTTCGTGTCCTGAGGAGCTTATATTTCTAGTGGATGAAAAAGACAGTGAACTAATATATAATATAAACCATGTAACAAATAATATATTACAAAATGGAAAGTGGTTTTGTAGAAAATCAAGCAAAGTAGAAGGAGCTGAGGTGATATTTTCAATAGAGTGTTTAGGGAAAGCCTTTCTGTATAGGTGATGTTTCATCAGACTGAAAAATGTGAGCAAGAGGTCCATGTAAATATCTGGGGGAAGATTATTTCAAGTAGAAGAAACAGCAAAGGATCTGAAGCAGAGACAGGCTTGTCCGGATATGGGGCATTGCTGGTGCCATATATTGAAATGGGAAAAGTTGCAGGAGGGGCACATTTGGGGGCTGGGGGGAATCAAGAATGCTGTTGTGGACATGTGAATTATGAAATGCCCAGTCACATGGTAATGTGGGCTGACTGCCCCAGAGTTCTGGGTAGATGCTAGCTTTCCCATATAGATTTGGATGTGTTAGCATTTAAATAGTATATAAAGCAATGAGATTGAAGAAATGATTAATGAGGAGAGTCTGAAGACTGTGTCCTGGGGAGGACAGAAAGGATTCAGCAAGTAAAACTGAGAAGCGTAGCCAGTGAAGTACAGGGAAAACCAAGGGTGTGGTGTTTCAGAAGACAGGACGTTGTGAATGACTGTGCCAGCTGCTTCTGAGAGGTGTGGAAAATCTTTGAAGACGGGAAATGGCCACTGGATTTGACAGTTTAGAGGTTTCTGGTGACTTTAATAGGTATGGGTGTTTTTTTTTTCCCCCAATAAGGAAAAAAGCCTGATTATGTTGGGTTCAAGAATGAACTTGAGAAGAATTGACCTTAGAAAGGAGCTGATTACCATCCATCAATTATATGAGGAGGAATGGCAGAGTATTAGTATTAGTATATAGATGTAGAAAAGTTCTTAAATTTGGTAGTAGAAAAATGAACAAGAACCAGATGTGGTGGCTCACACCTGTAATCCTAGCACTTTGCGAGGCCACGGTGGGAGGATCACTTGAGGCCAGGAGTTCAAGATCTGTCTGGGCAACAAAGTGATACCCCCATTTCTACAAAAAATAAAAAATCAGCTGAGTGGTGGTACGTACCTGTAGTTTCAGCTGCTCAGGAAGCTGAGGTGTGATGTTCACTTGAGTTTAGGTGGATGTCTGAAACTGTGGATGGTACCAAACCCTATTCATACATACCTATGATAAAGTTTAACTTACAAAGTATAATTTATAGACATAGTAAGAGATGAACAACAGTAATCATAAAATACAACAAGTATACCAACAAGCCAGCATTGCTACTCTTGCAATTTCAGGCTGTTACTAAGTGAAATAAGGGTTACTTGAAAACAAACTCCTTCTTACTGCAGCAGTCAGTCATAACTGAAACGGCTACTGAGAAACTAAATGGACAGGTAGGTAGCATACACAGCATGGAGGTGCTGGACAAAGGACTGATTCACATCCCCTGGAGGGAATGGAGGAGAACAGCATATTTCATCACACTACCCAGAATGCCACACAATCTAAAACTTATGAATTGTTTATTTCTGAAATTTTCCACTGAATATTTTCAAACCACAGTTGACTGCAGGTGACTGCAGCCATAGGAAGTGAAACCTCAGATAAAGACAGGTTACTGTATTGTATGATTGTTGATTTAATATTGGCTGATTTGGCAATCCTTGCATCTTCATTACTTTCCTTAAACATTTTACATCTTTGATTTTTTTTTAAATTGAAGTTCACTAAGCTGCAACATTATAGAAGCTAGAATACTGTAAAAATTCACCAGTGATATTTGACCCTTAAAATTTCTGTTTCCAGTCTCTGTTAGCTGAAATAGAAAGTTCTGACTTACAAAATAATGTCCCAATTTTATAAAATGACATTTTGAATTTTATATAAATCCATTCCTATTAAAATCGATTTATGAGAGGTCTTACTAGGATAGGCAGTAGGTACTCATTAAATGTTTATTCCTCACCTTTCATTCATTTTTTACATTATTTATAAATATATGCTTGTTGTTTTGGTTTCTGTATGATTTAGCTATTACCCAATAATTTCAGCAGGAATCAACCAGAACTGGTGGCATTAATAACCCTACAAATTAGATAAACTATTGAATGTGCAATTGATGCACATTCAATCTAGACTTTTAAAAACATTTTTATTGACCAATTTATATATTATTGAATTTGTAGCAGTGTTGTGTTAATATCTTGACAAGCATGTTTTTTTTATCCAAGCAAATTGTTGTTGTTTTTTTTTTGTGTGTGTTATTTAATGGAGATGGTTTTCCTCAGTATACAAAGCAATGCCAGTTCCTACCTATGTGCAGTGGGGCCAATGGAAGTACAGGTTGCCATGGAAACGCTGATTTCGCTTTGTGGTTTTAGTTCATCCTGCCTAATAATTACAGCAGAATGGCAATTTGTTTTGTGTGTTTAATAATTAAAATCAGCTCTGCTAACAATTGGAAACATTACTAAAAGCTTATAAAAAAATAAAGTATTTGGAAGTGTTGGCCATTTCCATGAATACTCTGCTTAATCTCTTCACTCGTAAAAGTTTATGAACCAAAGTAGCTAAGTTATTGAATTTTTAGATAGTAATATTGTTGGTATATAGGTTAGTTATGTCAAATATTTTCATGAATGACCCAAAAAGTTCATTATCCTGTGTTTCTTTTTATGATTAGTTTAAGACAGAGGTTGGCAAGCTTTTCTTGTAAAGGACCAGATAGTAAATATTTTTAGCTTTTTCTTGCAGTTCCTAGCACTGCCGTTGTAGCACAGAAGCAACCATACGCGGTATGTGAATGAATGGATTTGGCTATATTCCAACACAACTTTACTTACAGAAACGTGTGAATGGCCTGATTTGGCCTGGTAGTTGTAGGTTTTCAATCCCTGGACTAGGATACATAATCTTCAAGGCAAATGTATTTGAATTTCGGTACATGTTGAACATACCTTGTCCAAAAGTTAAATATCTGAAATGCATTAAAATTCAAAACTTTTTGGACACTGAGATAGTGACACATTTGCTTTTTGATGGTTCAGGATACACAAACTTTGTTGCATGTACTATTTAAAACATTGTATAAGATTACCTTCAGGCTATATGTATCAGGTATACATGAATCATAAATGAATTTCAAGTTTAGACTTAGGTCCCATCCCCAAGATGGAATGTATATGTAAACATTTAGAAGTCCAAACAGTTTAAAATCTGAAGCACTTCTGGTTCCAAGCATTTTGGATAAGTGATACTCAATCTGTACTGTTCTTACTTAGTAGTTCCTCTGAAAATGGCCCTTAGGCCTTGGGAATAGTCAGGATTAGTTGATATAAATTTATAAAACAATACTCTGCTTATTTATTTAGTCCACACATGTTAACTGAATTCATTCAATGTATGAGGTCTACTGGGGACATACTGGCACATGAAGAATAAATGATCCTTGACTTTACGGCGCTTATGAGGCTAGTGGGAAAAGGAGGCACTAAATAAATATGAAAATAGTTCAGTCAATTTGGGTGTACAAAGGAC